ACTTTCTACCATACCCGCCATGCTATCTGACCCGAACGAGCCACCTTGTGGTGAGATTGGTAACTACCTGCTCGCATCTGCGTTATTACGCAGAGACATAAACGTATACACAAGGAAACGATAGGAGATAACCTATTTTATCTCTGTATACATTTTAACTTTAATACATCGTTGAATCGAATTTGTCCAAAGGTCTTGAAACGTAAAATACCTAAATATTTATCTTAGACCTTGGGATGACCTTGTACAAGAAACATTAATGTTGACCTCGGTTCATCTAATCATAATTCGCCAAGGGCCATGGTATCATCAAACGCCAAATACCTAGACATTGATCGTTTACTTAAGGAATAAATAATGATAGGCCATTCAATATGGTGAAATTCAGCACGAGTTGGACAGAATGTTGTACAAAGCACGAACCGAAGGTGAGTGCATTTGTACTAACATTCTGTCCAACGAGTGCTGAATTTCACCATATTGAATGGCCTATCATTATTTATTCCGATTCAAACATAAAAATTAGTAAAAGCCGTGTCTGTGGAACGGGCATGAAAGAAGAATACGCATGCTGTCAAGATTCTGAAGTCGGCCGGAAAAATTTTAGAATTTGTTTGGGCTGTTTGTTTGTGACGTCACTCAAAACAATGCAAATTGCAGATTGAATAGAGCATGGTCGTGCATCTATGGAGAATTAGAGAACGTTCTATATTGGCTATGCTGCATTCTGATTGGTTGAGAAATTCGAATAGAGCACGGTCATGTTTGAATTGGATTTAAATAAGGAGTATGATTTTAAAATTGGCTAGGTCGTGGTTAAGCAACAATAGTATGTTCGAAATACCGCTGTGTAATGCCTGGATCACATTTGCTGCGAGTATTTTGTTCAAAATTGAATACATTTCTGAACACAATACTCAATCGGCCGGGCGCCGTAGTGAAAATCGGAGCAAATGTGACCAAGACATAAAACAATTGAATAATACTGTATCAGTTTCACATTTACAGCGGTCAAAAGCATTTACAAAAAAAACCGCCAGAGTTGGTAATCATATAAAATGAAACCAATCCCGCTGTGATTCATAGAAATAACTAATTTACTGCATTGAGTTCAATGTTATAACCATGTCGATTTACATGAGTGTCTGATTCATTGTACCAAATTTAAACCTTGACTGTTTTCCAGAAAGCAATAAGCTGACATATATCATATTTTACATTTTAATACAACTGAAAAGATAATAAATGTTTTAATATAAAGTTGACGTAGTTATAAATGTTTTCAGCGTAAAATCAAAGCACAACTATATAATTAAAAACATAACGCTGGGATTCCAACTGGATACAACTGACGAGTTGTATTTAGGTGGCCTAAAGTGCTGCTTATTTTTTCGTGAAGCCACTCAGTAAAATTACGATTTCTCTCAACCCTGATGTTCAATCAACATCATTCGAGTATCTATATGTTCCTGACACGTTCGGGCATCCGGTTATGACAACGTCTACCCAATGTTTGCACGAGAAATTGACGTAATTCATGACTGAAATCGGGAAGACAAAAATATGTGATATTCTTTCAGAATTGTTTATAATAACTATTAACAAAAACGTTCCCGAGACACAATCCATTTAGGTAGGGTTTGTTTTAAAGTCGAAAAGCCCCAATAAGACAATACAAACCCAGATTAAACCCAGAAGAATGCAGATTTCATGTAATGATTTACGTTCATGTAAACAAGGAAAGTACATATAATCCCCATATAAAACACTGGCCTACGTGACATGTAAACACAGGTTCAAATTGAAATATAGAAAATTTTCAACATAGCATTTGCTTCTGTGTTCTGTATGCCCCTCTACCTGCTAATAAGGCAATGTATCTTCAAATAAAACCTTAGCCAAGTAGGTAAGGGTCTCTGGAACACTTTTGTAAATAGTTTTCACAAGCAATTTTATTCCCGGACGCCCAAACGTGTCAGGAACACATATATATTTGAATGATCTTGATTGGACATCAGGTTGCAGAGAAATCGTATTTTTACTGAGTGGATTATTGAATTTCATAGATCTAGAGGCCCTTCAGGAGTGGAAAACCTTAAATTATCAGAGATTAATGCTTCCAGACTGTTTTGAAACAAACTAACGTCTTGTTTTCAACCTACACCTTGCTCCTTTCTGTCGTATTTAATAAAACAAAAATCACGGAGGGATACGAACCACTCACCTGGCACTTGGTTATTCACTAGCGCCATAGGCGTTCTACTATTCTGGATACAACTGACAAGTCGTATTTAAGTGGAGACAAAAGTGAGGATCATTTTGAATTGACGCTCGGTATAAATATATAATACTTTTGTTCTTTCATATCGGTAGCTCGTTGGCCTAATGGTTAGCGTGCCTGGCTTCCATAGTCTAGGTTAGTTTATCGAGACCCGTCCATGTCGAACTTTTTGATTTGCTTGTTGTCAAGATATAATAAGTAGGGCAAAATGGAGTATAAAATTGTCACCAGGATTCCGGAATGAGACGAATGTTAACTCGTGAAATCTCGGTAGATAAGGTAGGTCAGAAAATCCGGATTAATCCGAACAAGGTTCGGGAATTTCCGTCATAAGAAGTAGGTCAAAAATACTCCAATGGAGTATAAAATTGTCACCAGGATTCCGAAATACGACGAATCGAATCGGCAAACTTCGGTACAATAATGAAGTGCATAAAAATCGTGAAACAGGTGTCAGGGGCTTCCCCTCATCTTTCCATAAATGGTTCCAAAAGCCTTATATGGATCTATCACGTGACATTCAAAATGACGTTCCTATATGGTTCTATGGGCCTTATATGGATCTTTCGAACACGTGACCAAATCAAAATCAAAATCAAAATTTTACCTTGACCATTGGATGGGATTTCATAGAAAATATCAAAGAAAACATATTCTCGTGATCCTTAAATCACTTAAATTCGATCATTTTATCTTCACCCCTTGAAGGAATTTTATGAAAGAAGTTATGAAAACACATCATCATGTAAGGGTTTTCACCTAAATTAGCTCGTTTTATCTTGACCCTTCAATTGAATTTCATTGAAAAATGTTTCATGAAAAATATCATGTTATGATTTGTATTTAAATAAGACCGTTTCATTTAAATACTTGCTGGATAATATTTCATTAAAAAACGCACTTTAAAAATATTTCAGGATTTGCCTTAATTTATCAAAGTAATGTAAGTATTAGATTGACTCTCAAATAGGGTTCTATTTTAACTTTTTTATTGAAATTAATACTAGGCAGGACTCACTCTCTAAATAGCTAATAAAAATTCAACCCTTGGATGTGATTTTTCGTTGAAAAAAAATATGACAAGTCCAGAATCAAATGATTTGTCCAGAACCTCTTAAGATCCTGTTTACCGGGGTATCTCAATATAAAGGGACTTCCTAGGGAGGTACATGGGCAAACCAGAAAGGTTCCTTTCAATTTCAAATGAGTTGTAAAACAATAGATCTATTTTTAGATGTTAAGGTTTTAAATTATATTCTATTCAAATTCTGTCACTGTTAGATTATATATCTGTTTTATATGAACTTATTAGCCTTTTGCAGATTATTGCCATAGGCATAGACGCAAAGCTTAAACACATACACTGCCTTGAAAGAAGGTACATATGCTTAAGTGTGCGCAAAAGTTTAAAACTGCACCGGCGCAGCGCTCTTGCTAACCTATATAAAGAGATTACAAGGTACAGGCTTCAGAGGTAAGTCAGGAAGGTGAACAATCTTCGTCCCATGTTGATTTCCCGTATAATCGTAAACAGGCAAGTTTCACCATTGAAATAGAAAATAACTATTAGATATACTTTGTAGATGTTATTAATGAGCTATTAAGTGTATGCATCGATCAAATGGCTCATTTTGAACATATAAAAAGTGTTTGTGTTTTGTTTCCCAGGGAATCGTATTCCCATGTAGTACACACATAAATAGTGTACATACAGGGTGTCCAATAAATAAGGTGAAAGATATTGTAACTTTCTTAATATTGCACCAATCCTGATGAAATTTTCAGGGTTTGTAGCCCTAACCTTTTTACCTTTGTTCTGTGAATTTAAAGCGTCTTCTATTTGATTGGCCAGAGTTGTGGTTGCTATAGCAACCGAAACAACAAAAAGGCGGGGCAAGTTTGTTTACGTCACAACTTTCCAAAACATATTTATTCTTTCTGATAGCTTTATTCATAGTCCCAGGTCTATTACTACCACAAATACAACAGATACAATATAAAAAACAGTCCTAAAGTCCCATTGTTATGAAAATAAGCTATTCAACATAATGTCCATCTCTAGCTATACACTTCTTATGCCTATTCACCCTCTCTCTCTAAACACACTTATGAACCCATTCTCGCCCATTTCTTGAAGTCTTGCTAAGACATGTGATCTGAGTATGTATGTAGCACTTGAATAGCCTGGTTTATATAATATTGAAGGGCATGCTGATTATACACACGAGTACATGCATGAGATATGCTTGAAAAAGTTGATTTTGTAGTATAATGCTACTTCGTTGTGTTCATGATATTAATTTTCGTACCGAGTGTGCACTGGACGAAAACAGCTTGCAGTAATAAATTTCCCGGGAAGGATATTGGATTGCTTACTTTTGATGGTTATGACCCCAACCCCTCAAAAGTTCTAATAGAGTTAATTATAAAGTTTCAACGTGTTGAAACAGGGGTGCACCGTTTTGAAACAGGGGTTCTGCAACAGGACATAAACCTCAACAAAGCTCATTTGAACGATTCGATTGATTATAAAGATGTTCCATGTTCTAAATAATTATCACTACTTGATGATCAAATCTTATTAACTTCTACGATAAGCATGTGTTAATCAGAAATAGAATGATAAAACGCCATTGCCTGTGAATCCTATTTAATTGTTTTTCATAAAAACGATGACAACAATATCATACTAAATTATGCTACTATTTCATATACTCACCAGCTGTGTCCAATTCTGGCTCAACAATGGCATTGTTGGCTGAAAGCAAATGGGATAGTAAGCAAATTGTTTTTTTGTGAATAAGGAATTGGGTAATTTAATATAAAAATAGCAAAGCTAAATAAGCTTATGTAATAGAAACAAGATACACTTGATTTGATTAATTTTGATAATTTTTGGGTCATATGAGAAAATATATTCTCATATGACTAACAAAGATACAGCCATTTTTACTCTTTGTTAGTCCAAAGTGAAAATATTTTTCTCATATGACTAACAAAGATACAGCCATCCTTTTTTGAAAAAAGATTTATCTCTTAAATTCGTGGAGAGAACACGATTCGCGAATACTTTGCAATTAACCTGGGACCCGCTTTTGTACCGTTCTTACTAACGAACGTTCGTAAATCCATTGTTTTATTTGCGAATTTAACAAAGTTGCATCTTCGTTCATTCATTTATATTGTGATTTGTGACGTTTTGTCATTCTAAATCAGAAAACACAAAGGGCAACACCGTTATCAACGTATTATCAACCTATTTCTATATCTAATTTAGTACTTTTCATGGAATCTTTATTTTTATAAAGTTCTTATTGTATGACTTTGGTTTTATTACTTTGATCAACCCTGTTTGTTGTACTATCTGTCCTTACAACTGTGGAATATGACGTCAACCTATTCGTAAATTCTTTCTCTTAACGATTGGAAAGTTACGAATGACTTACGAAACCGTACAAAAATGATCCATTCGCAACTTTACGAATTCTTAAAAACTCATTCGTAACTTTTTAAATAATTACGAATTTACGAATTGCGAACGTTCGTTACTACGGAGGGTACAAAAACGGATTCCTGTTTTGCTTTTATAACTATAACATTGTCAATGGTTGCTCGATTTTCTTGAAATATAGTATTTTGGAAAAATAATTCAATATGCTAAATGATTATCTAGATATCTAATCAAACAGAGCAATAATCATATTGTTGTGATTTCTAGAGTATTAGAAACAAGGTAACAATCAATATCTCATGAATTTCAATTTTATTGACACACTGTTCCAACTATTGTGATGTTTTCCCTTTGTCCCTAATCAACTTGGTTTTAACTTCAAAAAGTTTCTTATATCTACGGCTCAAACTCAAAAAAAGATTAAAGGAGACGCAATAAAATATTTGCAATAAGTGCCGTTGGAAAATCAAGGAAGGAGTCAGATTGACCCCACGCCCACAACCTGCAGACATTAGGGTTTAATGAAACAGAAATCAAGGGAAAATCTGATCTACAAGTGAACCAGTCTGTTTTTAAAGGTAGAGTTTATTGTAAAAACCAAGGGAAATCAATGGGATGTGCGATTGAATAATCATTGATTCCAATTCAACATATTTGTGTCGACTGTATTGGGGAGTTTTTTCATGCGATTGCTTAATATGTTTTTCATCCAACAAAACATCAAAACAACTTTTACAACATTTAACAATACAACATTCTATTGACTATAAGATAGCACCATATAATCTAAAAAATATAATTCTCAATGTAAAGGATTATCTATAGTTAGTTTAGCCAAGGATTCTACTGGAAATTTATATTAAAGATTGTCTAAGGCTGTAGATTTGGAAAGAAACTGTAAAATATTGTTTCCATTTGCAAGGTTTGCTTTGGAATAACCGTTTTACTCATTGAATTTGTAATGCTTTTATTTGCGACTCGAAATTAAAACTTTTGACCCCACCCTTTTCTATTTTTTTGGTTGTTAAATTACTGATAAGTGGAGGTTTTTTGTTCCACAGAAAATTGTTAATGATTTTTTGAATTTTATTGATGATTTGCTTTCGTACAAGTATGATCGATGCTTTTTGTAAATGATTTTTGAAATGGCTAGAGCTTTAATCAAGACATGTTTTCCCTATAAGGCTAAGATTCCTCCGTTCCCATATTTTAAATACGTTTCTATAGCTTTCATTTTAGGGGCAAATTATATATTATATACTATATATTATAAATCTATATTATGGCTACCACACTCCGAGTGTGAAGATTCCTTGTTAATTTTAATTTCTGATACACGATTTTTGGGAACAATTTGTGGAGGATTTGTATTTAATTGTCCTAACCATTAACGTCCTATTTTTGAAGATTGGCCTTGAGGCCAGACATTTCTGAAAAGGTTCTCAACATTTGAAGGGCTACTTCGGTTGATGCTTTGGAGTACAAAAAAAAGTTGTATCATCCGCAGACATTGAAATTTTAAAGTGGGAGTATCGATTGCCGAGTCGTATCCAATGATCCTGGGCCTATCGTAAAATGAAAGCTTTGAATATGTTGTTGCTTTTAAAAATGTATCTATTTTCCATGTATGCTACTAGAATTTGTGCACATACCTTATAACGATCGATAATGGCAAAGGAAAATCCTCTAATTCTTCGTCATAATTTCTCCTTCGACGTCCGCCATTTTTTTCACTTTTATTTCAGATTACGCTTCGGATTCAACATATAATGCTTTCTAATATTAATTAAGTGTTTTCTATCAGAAAGATTTCATAAAACGACTCACACTATCAGAGATTTTATCGATTCGAGCAGCCAGAAAAATTAGTTTCAATTTCACCCGCTAGGTGTTTCGACGTCGACTTGGAAAGAATTTGAAAAATCTATGAGTGGGACTCCTTGTATGGAATTGTAGATTCCAAACGATTTGCCAGTTCTACTGGTTGATGAATATTGCCATATGCATACATTTTTATAAAATAGGAATAAGGAAGAAGATGTTGGACCAAACTTCACCCCGATAGCTCAGAAAAGGTAAGATTTCTCCATTTTTCTCTCCACAGACCTTAGAGCCGCTTTAAAATCAATTTGAAGAAGTAAGCAAGGGATGTTAACTTGGTCGGTGAATTTTAAAACATCTTCTTTAAGTCTAATATTTTCCACTATGTATCTATCCATTACATAAGCAGATTGGTCGACATTAATTATAGATGTAAAGGTTTTACGTATCCTATTCGCAATTGATTTTGTACCTATTTCATATAGTCGATGTTCAATAGAGTAATTGGCCTCCAATTTTTAGGGAATACTTTTGTCTTTCTTCGGAACAACTTTAAAAAGCATGTGATACTCTCTAGTGTCTGAGTTCCTTCAATTATCCAGTGACCTTAAAATACAATATTTGCTTGGGTACAATGGTTGTATAATGAAATGAAACGAGTGACACCGACCTGTTCAGTTCATGTAGGACTCATCTACCCGTCATAAACAAGATACATCGGTTTCTATTATGAGTTTCAAAATCACCTTGATTCACAAGGTTTCGATTGTTCCAACCTTACCTTGATAAATCTTCCCGATTTAACCTACCACTGTGTAAAAAAACAACTGTTTTCACTCTCAATATTGCGCCTCTTTGCAGTTGAATCGGCCAATCAACGATGCGATATTACTTCAGACATTTTAAATAATTTGTCACGTGACGAAACAGATCGTTCTGATTGGGTCCGTTGACTTAACACTGGGCCATGAACCGCAACATATGAATAAGGCAAACAATTTGACCTTTTATGCCATGGGAAAAGCAACTATATTTTTTAAAATGTTATGACAACCTTCCTATGTTTTACGTTTTAGTGTTGTAAAAAAGGAGATCAGGACCTAAGGCTTTTTCATGTTGGTATCTGCAGATGTGTATTTGTGGTCTTTAAAAGTAGAAATCATTCCCTAGAGCATGTTCTATAAAGAATCGAGCACCTAATGAACTTGCTGTGGCACATGGACACGATGACAAGATGCAAAATGATTCTCTGTCAAATATATGCTTAATTGTCACTTTGTTTTTTCTATATAGATAAGTACATCAAAATAACCACAGCATAAATAGTATAGAAATCCAACATCTTTGAAGCTTTACGGTGATAAAGATTTTACAATTCTGTCTGAAACGATACATATCAATATTTTAAATGAAGTTTCATAATGTTCACTGGATAGTCATTTAGTGTTCTTGAGACCTTCAGAGTTTTCTGACGTTATCTATTTGGCTTAATAAGTAGTTCTTTCACATTGACGGTCCTATCAACAATAACTCACCCTCACATCCTCTTATAGTGGCTTTAAACCCAGGGGCACATTGACATGTGTAACTGCCAACAGTGTTCATACAGATCTCACTTGTCTCACAGTGATGAGCAGCCTCGCATTCATTAGTATCTAAGGAAGTATCAGCAAAACTATTTGGTACATAAGCTGTGTCCATGAAGTCGTTTTGGACAAACCAATAAGAACTATACTATCTTCTTCAACGTGATTCACGACTATTTCCGTACCTTACTACGTGTTCTTTTGGAAACAATATCGAAGTGGCAATTTGTAAATTTGTCGCTCATTGTATCTTCTTCACTAACTAAGAAGTAAGAAATGTTTTTTTTGTGTGATCTGTCTTTCTCTAAGAACGTTCAAAATATGTTTAACACTAATGTCTGCAACGTAGCGCTTATACCATTAAGTCGCAAGGGGCGGGGGATAAGAACCCCTCCCCCCAGCAATTCAAGGTCGAATCGAGGCCAATGTGACCAATATGTAGGGGTGAACATTTCTGCCATTTTGTGATAAATTGTCAATTCTCTTTCAAATATATGTAGTGCAAAGTATTCTTCGCTTATTTAAAAAATATTATATTGTCTTCTAAATAAAACCTAAATTCGAAGTAAAATCATTTCTAGAACTGGAGTTTTGCACTTTCACGCATAACCATCGCGTAAGCAGGCGTCACCGTACAGCGTCAAAAAAATTCGGGTGTAATAAAAACAGCATTCTCTTAGGAATGGTTTTAACTTTCTAATTATGATAAAAGTTTTTCGAGCACTGCTCGGATTTCTTCTGACTGGATCGGCCCACATAATCGACTCGAGAGAAAAATGTTGTTTTTTCACTTTTCGTTTGGTTATTATTTTCCCTGTCATCTGAGAGTATGGATTATTTTTATGAGAATATGTATTTGTTATCTACACATTTTAGAACAGATGAATATTCGGCAAATAA